GAGTTGATGGTTCAAAGTCGCAAGCAGACCAAAATAATAATAGTACAATGGTGCTAATAAAGTACTCTTAATCCTCTACGGATTACTACTAATTTAATACTGAACCACATAATCCACCATCGCACAGCTAATTGCTTGCTTAAAATAATTAGTATTAATTAATTATAATTAATCAAGATTAATTAGCAGACAGCTGGTTCTTAAACCATCACGTTCTTCCCAATTTTTTTTAGTGGAAAAACATTTTATGAATTAATTACATTATGGGAGGAAAAGATGACACCTCTGAAAATTTTGGTGCTCAAGACATTGTAAAATTAAATAAAAAGTTAGATAAAATGAAATATGAACATTTTAAAAAGAAAAAAACAACAACATGTGTTATAATATTTTTTAATAAATAATCCTCAATGAAATAAAGCGAGTATAAGTATAACTAATTGAAGTTTTAAGGGCTTGAGCGTGTCTGGGAGGGTCATGAGTGTGGTTAATCGGTCTCAAAATGAGTCCACTCTTTTCATGTGTACGTGTGGACAGATCTGGTACATTTAAAGTTTGAGATTAATGGCCTGTAAAATTAATATATATTTTTTAATTCTTATTTCCTAATAATGAGTTCAAATTTTGATTAGCATACTTTCTTTCGTCCGTTATTCTTGGCCTTTTGGTTGGAAGGTTGTATAGATTATACATCAGCACGCAACATATTCCCAGGAAATTTAATAATAAAAAACACACACAATTATTACAATTAATGTTTTTATATACTTAAAAGAAAGAATACATTTGAATTACTTACCGCATTCCTTTTTGCCCTTTTTCTCGATCAGTGATTACAAGTTGACTATATATATACAATAAATAATTATGTTATTTTTAAATAATAAAAAATAAAAAATAAATCTAAATGACTAAAAATATTAAAATCTGTACAAAAATACTAGCTTTTTAGATAAAATAAAACTCAGGTCGGATTTTAGGTTTTTATGGTCCTGATCTGGTAAATAATGAGGCCCTCCAAAATCATAATACATATGCAAGTTTCAAATGTTTGACTTCTAAATTGAAATACAATAAATACACATTTCTACCATCTCTTTATGGAACCTATTAAAATTAATTGAAAACTTTTAATTTTTATTTCTAAACAAGCTAGGTAAAAATTAAATATTGGGCCTCCAAAATTGGGAGGCCCTCTAAAATTGGGGGCCCTATGCGGTAGCCCAACTTGCACAGCCTAAAATCCGGCCATGATAAAACTTCATTATCATGCCGTCAAGCTTATAAATATGTAAATCGAGTCAATATATTTCTAGATTCAACACCAATTCAAATTCAAACCCCCCAATGTTCGTGGTAGGAATCGAACTCATACCATGTCATAGAAGCAAGTTTTTCATCCACTCTAAAGCTTCTCACTTTATTCTTGTTTTATTTTTTATTTTTTAACCCAACCATAAAGGTCTCTGTCCCGAAAATTAGTGAATGAGGTAAATTGTGGAGATATGCTGACTGAGACCTTAAAATGTTTATACACTAGTGTTCACAAAGCATGCTAAATCCAAAATGCTTATACACTAGTATCGATTCAACCCGACCATTAGTTTGTAATTGTTAGTAAGTAAAAACTTATGAATCAATTGAGTTGTGCATTAGGATACCATCACTTTATTATTCTATAAATACTAATAAACACCTTTACTATAATATTGGTCCTGTTTGGTAGATGGTTGTTAGCTGATAGTTGTTACATGTTAACTGATTTGTTTAATTAGATGATATAACTAGTTGAATTATTGATACTAAACCGCTTTAAGCGAGAATCAATCTCTAACCTTATCCCTGTTTTGGTAGTCCCTAGGCCCTAGGGTGGAAGGCTGTGCAAATTCCTTAACCAATCAAATCCGAGGAATTGTGGAATAAACAAAACAAAAAACTCATTACAGCATATGATGTTTTCTTTAACTGCACAATTATGTGGGGATGGGCATTACAAAACATGCATGTGAGGGTTGTAGTTTGAGGCTTTATAATGGCCTTAATTAACTCTATTAATATTAATATTAAATTGAATAGTATATAGTAGATGATACATATAAAATATTTAGGGGCCAGTCTTTTCTAATGAATGCAATGGTGGTAAGGTGACTGTGCATTCATGTGAGGTCAATGGCCTTGGGCACCACAAGTGGGGCCAGCTTTAAATGTGTGTATTATCCTCAACTTAAACTATTCCTTTGATCCAAAAGGGTTTTTGCTTATGGGTCCTCGTGGAGCTAACATGATGCATGTAACCATCACAATTTCACTCAAATCAGACTGGAAATTTGATTTCTCATCCTAATAAATCGAGAGAGAGATAAAATTCAAGGAATAGAGACGATGACAGGGATAGAGAGACGAACCCTCTTTTAATCGTCTCATCTGTAGTACTGAATACTTTTTTCACAGTTAAAATTTTAAAATTTGACTGATTTTTGTTGTATATGATATACTCAAGTTTGAAGACAATCATAATTGAGTTGCAGATTTGACAATTAACTTTAATAACTCCAAAGTTAAAATTTTGAATTTCAATTGAAACTATCATTTGACTTTTTCGATCAACTATGGGCAAAAACAAAAATAGGGAAGAAAACGAAGATGGCGATAAATATGCCACAACCCCATTGCCATTCCTAGACGTATCTCACCTTTTCTTGAACTCAAACTTCCTCAATCTAAAAAGTTACTCATCACCAAATTACTATTCTTTATTCTAATATCATTTGGTCCAATCCAATTATAGTTTTCATATGAAACAAATGAATTATATTGCTACAAAACACTAATGAGTTTATAGAAAAAAAATGTATTTTAATTAAAAAAAAATATTACACTTCTCATAAGAGACTGCTTTTAGTTTGCCCTATAAATTACTGAAAAAAAAAGTAAATCGCGTGATGTGTTTCAATTAGCTTACATGTTTGAATTTTACACCTGCAACTACTTATAAACTTATTTTTGGTTAGTTAACTCGTTAATCTGTGACGAAGAACAACAAAAAGAGATATAAATGCATGCATGCGTATTTGAATGAAATTGAAGTTGTAGAGGTCAAATGTTAGATGATGGTAATTGTGAAGAAACTAGGATGGTCCCTATTAATAAATCAAAACGATAGATGCAAGTGTTGAAAGATACCTAACATTGACTATTGATAGAAATAGATGCATGCAAGCAAAATTATGAGAGGAGTACAGTACAGGCAGGAGCTGAGGAGTGAGGGGTCAATTTCAATTTCTCTACCACCTTAGCTTTCATTCAAGATACCACTCCAGATTCGGCTTCGTTTATTTTCTTTACTTTTATTATTCCATGGGTCATCACAATGTCTTTGAATGCCTAATTTAATCCTATTTCGGCAAACGTACCAAATCTCTCATATATATGCATTCATACAATCTATATATTTACTTATTTTTGAATAGAGTTCGGTATTTTCAAAAAAAAAAAAAGAATAGAGTTCGGTAATAGCTCTATGTTATTATGAGGATCGGAAAATATTTTTTCTTCTCATAATTTTGTTTTATGATGTTATTTATTAATGGTGTTTATGAATGGTCTGATCTCACTTAATTATAATCAAGTACTAAAGAAGAGAATAAATTTAAGATGAGTATGTAGTATTATTCTTATCGAATAACATTGAATTCAACAAAGAAAATTGTTTGAAGATAAACTAAATGTCTTGTCCAAGAATTCGTGCCGTGTTTTAAAACCAAACCTTATCAAGTAAGGTTGAATTCAAGAAATTAAAGAAAAATGTTCATATGATTGAAAGGATGGATGGGGGTTGTTAATTGAGGAGATGAAATTAAGGGTGAAAAGCAAAGGGGAATTGTGGGGGGATTGCCAAATCCCAAATTCCATTGTGATAAGATCAAAGTCTGGTTGGGGACAAAACAGTATACCAGAAAAACGGGAATTGACATCACCAAGAAAGGATAGCGTTGTCCTCTGATCTGATAGATCTCTCTCTCTCTCTCTCTCTCTCTCTCTCTCTCTCACTCAAACATGGTGTTTATGATTTTCTGGTGTACCCTTCACTCACAGAATGGACACTTAAAAGCTATTGTCTCCCCAACTTCAAGAATCCCATGTTACTACTCACCACCTAACTTTCCTTTTTTTTTTTTTCTTTTAAAATTTCTCTGTGTCCCCATCCTTAACTAATCTCTCTCCAAGAATGACAATTCTGGAGAGTGAGTGATCTGTCACTTTGCAACCTTAACCTGCTATATCCATAGTATCTGTACCCAATCAAATCACATCCCATCTCCCATCTCCCTTCAACCAACACCACTCACCCTTTCACTCTTTTACTCCTCCAAACCTTCTATTTCTATCCTGAAAAATACTACATGTACTCTCATTTTCTATTCCCAATTTTTATTTTCACACTTAAAATATTGATATAGACACTTTTACAAGGACTCACATGAAGAAAATAGTCTATCAAAGCTCGCCACATCAAAGAATAAGATTTAAAAGTAAATGTAATAGAACTCTTCGATCCTACTCATTGGTGCCGACTATATTGGATACTGTGTCAGTTTCTGGGCCTCTTGTGTGCATTTTCTTCCAAGACAACCCCCCAACAATGGAGAGAAACTATATATAAGCTAAGCCCATGCCCATAGCTATAGCCCAGAGACAACTTTGTTTCATGAAGAATCATAGTTCAAACTTCTTGGCCCATATTAGCTTAATTAAAAGATCCATAATTGAACTATATGTTAGTTTGTTACATACTTTAGGTCTAACCATAATATATGAATGTATATTTTTTGGGTACATATAAGATATGTATGCATACAAATAACCAAAAAAGAAATCTTTTCTTTTTTGAGCGACTAGGGAAACCTGCAGCCAGTATCAAAAAGAAATCTTGAAAATACTGTAATAATAAGTTTACCGAAGAAAATGCAGCATTAGTCCTAGTTAGAACACCAAAGATTTTTTTTTTTTTTTTTTTTTTTTTGGGGGGTGAAAGAATTAAAAGCAGAAATGATATATAGCACAGGCTAGAGTTCAAGATTAACTACTACCACCACTTCCTCTTCCTCCAAACTTGTAGTCTTGGCAATCACATCTTCTGCTTCATCCATTATCATCTTGGAGATCATTAGATCATCCAATTTCACTTCTTTCTTCTGCTGTTCCTCCTCCGCTTTGTTCTTCCCGGTTTCTGCACCAAAGCTCTTTGAACTTTCAGACGTATCCACTTCGATGCTCTCGTCTTTTCCCTCCCCACTTTTCGACATTTCACCAGTTCCCTGCAAACCCAGTTTTTGCTCCTTTCCCTCTCTCACATACTTAAGCACCTCCTTCATCATCACTTTGTTCATGGCTTTTGCCAGCACTGTAAGCTCTTCTCTGGACTTAGTCTCCACCATTCTCACATGCTTCTTGAAGGCACACATTTGGCTCTGCATGTCCTCTTGCATCTGTTTAAGCTTGTGCATTTCAGCAGTGATCATATTTTGGTCATCTCTCAAGCTGTCCAGTTCTTCCTTCATCTCATATACGCATTCTTGGGAGCCTCTTTGAGACATCTTTCTTAATTTATGATGCCGGCTCTTGATGTTCATCAGCAGATGCTTCTTCCCAGCTTGAAACCAGGCATTCTCGTACTCCCATCTCTGCAACCCAATCTTCCTAAATCCCTGTGAAAATTATAACATTAATTAACATACAGTGTTTGGCTATGTTTGACAGAACTTATTTAGGAACTTATAGCTTATTTTAAGCGATTAATAAGCTATACACTCTGTTTGATAATGTTCCAAAAACATTTATCAAAAAACTAATTTTACCAAACATTTTTAAGTATAATCAGCTAGCTTAACAACTCTTCAGTTTTCAACTTTCAGCTACTTTTTCAGTAAGTAAAATCAAATATGATATAAGAAGAACATGAACATACATAGTTGTTGAGCTGGTAAATGAAGCTGGAGAAATTGCTGTGCCTGAAGAATCTTGGGAGAATATCTGAAGCAAGAATGAGATGATTCCAAACAATGAAGCTGTTCCCAGAATGGCTCCAAGAAATTATGTGGTTTGTGAGAGGATCATCCACCATTTCATATGTCTTGATCAAGAAAGGCGGCGGGCTTGAGCCATGCAGTCCTCTAATCTTAGTCTTTGAAGACGGCCAAACACCATCACCTTCACCACCACCACCACCGCCAATTCCTCCTTCCCAGAGAGCAGAACCACCACCCGTGTCGGCCATGGCTTTTTACAGATTAGTGTTTGGAATGTTGTCTTAGCTTGAAGCTTGGGAAGGCTCTTAAATTTGTAGAGGCTATGAACCAAGTGGCTCAGCAATGGAATGGGAGTGAAATGTTCTAAAAACTGGATTGATCATTATATAATCAAATCAGGACCTTTCAATTTTGGGTTCTTGAAATGCAGATTAATCCATGGTGTCCTATTTCTTCCTCTTTACAGCTTTGTACAATGTACCTTGATTCTCTCTGTACTTAAATGTCTGAGGCACACACAAAACATGTTGGAGAAGGGTGATATATCAAAGAAGAGTAAAAACTAAAAACCCCATCTTTATCTTTAACTAAAAAGTCCATATGACATTTCTTGGAAACAACTAAGTACTTACTGTTTTGCTGCCATGGAAGCAGAACAGAAGGGTGGGGTTATAATACTTGATCTTGATAACAATCCCAGTGAGACTGCAAAGGTGGCTCCAGGAGCTACTATTCACAGTTACTCTGAGCTTAGTGTTGGCGACTCGTCGCCATCTTCTCCTCCTCTTTCTGCTTCTTCATCTTCTTGCTTCAAGAAGGAGAAAGTGGAGGCGCCATTTGTGAGGAAGATTTATGACATGGTGAATAACCCCAACACAGACTCCATTGTTTCCTGGAACTCGGATGGATCCCGCCTTGTCGTTTGGGATGCTCATAAGTTTGCTGCAGAAATCCTGCCCACCTACTTTCGCCACAGCAATTCCTCAACCTTTTTCTGCCAACTCAACGCATATGTAAGCCTCATTATCATCATCAGCACATTCTGTTTTCTTGGTTCTGGACTCAAATTCTGTCTGGGAATTCATCTGCAGGGTTTCAGGAAAGCGGATTGGGATAGATGGGAGTTCCAGCACCAATGGTTTCGGAGAGGGAAGAAGACTTGGCTCAATAAAATCAAGAGAAGAACTACCAGAAGTTCACGACGGGTGCCACAGGAGCAGAAGCAGAAGCATCAACCCCCACACGACGAAGAGACGAGTGGAGTGAAAGCAGAAAAGGAAATCAAAGAAATGTTGGATGAGCAAAACGGTATGAAAATGGAAATCAAACAGCTCCAAGAAAACCAAGTAATTCTGGCAAAGAAGTTAGCCTCCATTAGACAAGCAGAGACCCCAGATGTGAAGGGAAGAAAGCTGTTTCTGCTCATGGCACAAGATTTTCTTGAAAGTACAAAGGGCAAAACCCCAGTAGAAGAAGAATCACCAAATTCCATTCAAGAGAACAAGGAAAGCAACGATGTTTTAGCCCGGAGTGATACAAATTCCAGAAGTGAAAGCCATACAAGAATGGAGAAGTTGGTGGAGGAAGGGGAAGACATTATGATCGGAGTAGAGAATTTGCTTGAAGGGCCAGCTGATTGGGAGGATTATGTGAAGAAACTTGAGGAGAAAGGAGCTGATCTTAAAACCAGGCCATGAAAACATCATTATATTGATCGATATACATATGTTCTTGTACGTCCTGTTCCAAGACTATAATGCATTTTAATATTTGCAGAATCTACACTGGCACATTTCTGCAATACATGTCTAACCAATGATTAGCCATGGCTGAGTAGGAGCTACTCTATGTTTATATAACCAAAATGTTAATAATCCAACTGTTAAGGATGTTTTGTTTAATGATCAAGGCGTGAATAGGACTCATATCATTAATTATTTCACTTAAAAAAGTGAACTTTTTCATAAACTTCAAACACCACTTTTTGTGAAGTTCAACCACTTTTAGCTTTGCCTTCCTAACATTCACATTTGCTTCCCTTTCCTTTCACAAGTCACAACTCTCCAACCCCACCAAACTTTTGATTTATTGGAAAGCCAAGCACCCTTTTCAAATGTGCATTCTGAGTGAAATCCGTCATGTGATCCTAGCTGATAAAGGTAACGAGGTAATTCAACCTAAGTTATTCATAACTCACAGTCCCATGAGAAAACAATTGTCATAATGTTTCTTCATTTGAGGATCTGGGTGTTTAAAAATTCTTTGTTAAATGCTTCTTATACTAAACGAATCACATCCACTGAGTAATACTACACTTTTTAAAAATATTTGTAACAAATTTTATATCACATGACATGATTTGACAAGCTATCAATTCAACGACAATTATGGAATATAAAAGTTATACGATATTTTACATAGCCACCAGTATATTCCCACATGCATGCCTCTTTCAACCACAAAGTTGCAATCCCACCCAAAGGGTAAAGGTTAGGAACCAAACTAAATCAAAAGAAAAAGAAATGGTAGCCCAAAAAAGAGAGAATTTTTATTAAAGATTTGAGGTATATTAGCGATGATTAATAAGTACATACAAGAGCGCAGCAAACTAAATCTTTGGGAAGAAGATACAATTCAAGAACGTACACCTGTTTTTGTGCAGCAAAATTAATCTGTTTTGTTAACTTGATTGATTAAAGATAATGGTACCTAATCTAAACCTCATCATCACATAACCCGCCGTTTGTAGCCGCCGGAGAAAGGTCGATCTCGATCAAATTATCCTCTTCTAAAACCTCGTTAGCGCTCCGCTTTCCGTCCAGTTTAATCTCTATCAGCTCTTCTCTGTCCATCCCCTCCCACCGGAAACCGTCGTTTCCCGGCGAGCCCCACTCTCCGTCCGACGAGCAGCTATCGGAATCCGTTTCCGGGTAGCATAACGACAGAGAAGCGTACCTCTCGATGGCCCCCATATCCGCCGCAGCTCTCTTCCTCATCAAGACGTCGTCGTCTTCCCCGTCCACCTCTTCGTACTCCTCCTGTATCACCTCCAGCGGCGCTCTCACGTTCCACTCGACAAACAAATCCTCGTAAAACGGGTTCGGGCCGGGTCCCGCACCATCATTGCGAGAATCACGCGGAGCTTGTAATGATGACGGCTGAACCGCAGGCTCGGCCTCGACCGGACCCGAGGCGAAGCTTTTGTTGGGGCCGAACCGGGCGGTTCTCAGAGACGACCGGAGGCGAAGGACGGAGAAGAAGAGAACCGAAGTGGAAACGAGGAGCGGAGAGAAGAGGAGGCGGCGGAAAGGAGACGGGAAGTAGAGAAAGATGAGAGTGTAGAGTGCAACAATGGCGGAGACTAAAGGGTTAGAAGAAAAAGAGGAAATTGTTTGGCATAGCGAACCCATACCATGAAAGCTAAGAAAGAAAGAAAAATGGAGAGAAGCAGAGAACAGAGGCTTCCATCCGATGATTACAAACAACATTTCTACGCATGCCATGCATTCCTATGTATACTGTCTGGGCTACAGTTTTCGTGTCCTTTCGGTCCCGACACTCGATTAAACTTTTTTTTTTTTTTCTTTCAAGAATTATATATATTTTATTATCAGCATGGAAAATCAAATTTAGAACTTTGTAGTTATAAAGTTAAGTATCTAACTGACTTGAGTGAGGTGTTTGGTATACTAATTGAGTGCGTGCATGTATGTATATATATGTATTAATGTATGTATATGTATGTAAGTGGTAAAGGTAAAGGGGGGGGGGGGGGGGGGGGGGAACTTTTTTGGAATGGGGAAAAGGGGTATGGAATAAGGGAGTTGGGTGGATTTCTTTTTCATGCAAATTGATTGGTATCTCTGACTCTCTGTCATTGTATTAAATCTGATATAGGTTAAAACTTGCCTAAGTGGGAATTGAATGACGATTTTATGAGATGAGGTATGAAGCTCATAATTGCGTTGGAAGAATAATGGTAGACTTTATTAGTACAAGAGTGGATTAAGGTAATTGTGGGCAGAAGTGTTAAATGACAATTAAAGAAATGATGGTTGGGAAGGTAGTTAGTATGCGAATATCAAGATATATATATGGATTTGTTGATATCTTCTTTTTCGGAAAGGTTGAATTCTCAATTTCAAGAGTCCTCATACCCCAGTTCCAATGTTTAATTACATATGCCTGCAGCACAATTGCAGATAGCCTACATTATTTGATTGTCAACTATATATTTTGTTGGGTAACCCAACCAAGTTAATTAGCTTGTACATTATTGATTTAGTAACTAAAAAGGTTACAAGTTCGACTCTTAGACAATTCTTTACGAGCTAAAGTCACAAAATCGCTCAAATCACAAGTTGTTAGCCACTAAACACATCATATAATTTGATCAGTCTAGTCACAGAAATGACCTAATTGGTGCAACAAAACAAAGGGAATAAATTATTGACCACATCCTAAATCCAAACCCCTTGACTAAAAGCACTTCGTTATCATCTGCAGGAACTTGGTACAAACAATATTAACAATAATGTTCTGCATGGTTTACTGTGAAGTTCACGTTCGTAAATTTTTGGCTTCTTGCCAGTCCGTCTTGGTTTTTTTTGTTGTTGGTATACATTAGATATTTTAGCTTATGCTAGATTAATCTTAAGTTCTCAATATAAAAGTATGACTGGAATGATAAAACTTCATTCAGATAATCAGAATATATAGTGATACAAGAAACATAAAGAGTCTAGGAAAAAATTACATGTTAGTTAGTAGAAAACCCGACCCAAGAGCTATCGAAGAAGTTAAATCCCGAGTTACCCGTCAGTACTTTCTCTCTCTCTCACTTCATCGGATCAAAGGTTTTTGTCCATTTACCTAAACATATATATAATGTTATCTTGTCTTGTTCCCAGCAGCTTCAAGGAAGCACAGCGTGGCCGGAGACGAGACTTGAATTAACACGTAGGTACAAGCAATGCAACTTATCCTGTTTGACTTTAAGTTTCACCCATCACCCTCAATAATTAATCATCTACGTACTAACTCTCAAGTATTATTGGACAACGACGTAAGATTCCTCTTCAATTCGTATTTATTTAATTATTATATGCTTTCAATAATTGAAGTATACTCGTACTGAGTTGCCAACTTGCCATGCATAATGTATATATGTGTGTGTGAGGCTCTGCAAAAACAAGCACGGTGTCCCCATGCTAGACAACGCATTTATTATTGAAAACTCAAAACCAAACCAATGGCTACCAATTTGAATGCCATATATACTATAAAATTAAACACAAAATAATTAATATTCCTCGTTATGGGCCTATGAGAGACAGAGTTTGAACGATCGGTTCTGTTCTTCCCAATCGTGAAGAAGGGGAAAACAGAATGAGAGAAAAGAGAGTTGGAGGAAGAAACTTCCTTTTGATTTTATTCAATTTCCAACTTACTAAGACAATCTAATATTCTCTCTATATACAGGAGTTAAAACTTAAGACATAAGGAAACAATATTTTAAAATATGGTTACTTAAAAGTAAAAATGCAACTACTAATAAACTAGGAAATAAGATAACTAAATTAATTTTAGCAAACCAAGACTATGTGGTCCAATGGTACTTGGGTTGGACTTCCATTTGGAAGGTTGTGAGTTTGAGTCTCAGTGGAGGCTAGGTTGAGACAGTATTATATCATAGCAATTGGGGTCTACCACTATAACCTTGGCTTGATTTTCCTAAAAATAATGCAGTTATGTCTAATATCTTCACGTCCTATATGTCCTCTATACATATATGCTTGCCATAAAGAAATATATATAGTGAATACCAACCCTACATTTGTAAGTCTCCCCAAATCAGCTCTATATATATGAAACATGCAATTCATATTGCATGAACCTCATCATACATTTGTCGACTTATAATTTATTCATGCTGATCTATCCAGCATCAGCCTCCGACATTTCATTCCTTGTGCCAATCTTCATCTGACACGTGATGAAAAAAGCAGCAAGTATTATTGCTGGCTTGCTTACTTAGCTTGTCCAATACTTGAAGATTTTTTATTTGCTGATCTGATATATATGATGTTAATGTTATGGTGATCAAACTCATTTCTTAAACCTATTATATACCCCTAGTTTTCCAGAATCATCAGCATATCAAAGAGGTAGAATGAAGCAAACTCTCATATATATAGTGCAACCATATATAAAACCTTAATAGTATGTTTGGTTAACATATCAAAATAAATTTTAAGAGAATAAGAATCTTATTCCAACGGGAATAAAATAGACAAAGAATAGAATAACAATTCAATTATATTGTTTGGTTCGTGGAAAGAATAGATTTAGGAATTGTATTATATTGTTTGGTACAAAATTACCCTCGACATTGATTAAAAATAATAATAATAATAATGACATTGCTACACTTCCATCATTTACCAGTCACACAAACTCATTCTATGATTCGGCATTTTGTGGTGAATTGAAAAAAAAAAAAAAAAAAAAAAAAAAAAAAAAAAAAAACTGGACTACAGTAGTGGATAGGTGACTGAGTGTTGGTTGGCTTCCATCAAATTAAAGCCCCTTCACATTGAATTGATAACTCCATTTTTAATTTGAAGATAGATTTGCTTTCATCTCATCCAAGTACCTCTCAGACTCTGCTCTTCTACGCTCTGGAAACATAACCTTCCATCACAAAATCGCAACAATATACGATTAAAAGAGAGGAAATTAAAAGAAACAAACCACAAAATTGATTATGATAGATGCTCCTTCAATTGCATCATTTACCTCATCAAAGTACTCATCTGCCTGATGCATGTCTTTGCTCATAGGTAAAACAAAATTCACTGCAAGTAAGATGCATGTACATACAAATCAGATCAAAATGATATATAGCTAGGAACTAGATAACTCCTTTCCATACAATCTATTCTAATCCGGCCATGTAGTAACTACTACCTATCATCTTCTTTACTTCTTCAGCAGTAACTTCTTCCCTTCCCATTTCTTTCAATCTCTTCTCAGCACGGGATTTTAACTCTTCCAGTGCAGGAAACATCATATCACCACAGCAATCTGATTCAAAAGGTAAATTGCCCCAACAAAGTCAACAATAATTCATACATAACTTTTCCAAATCTTCATCAAATGAAAACAACAAAAGTTAATTGGTCCATCAAGCTATTGACTTAGTAACCACAAAGTTACAAGTTTGACTCCCAGATGGAGCCGAGTTTATTGACCATCTTGGTTTGAGGTGGTCAAGTATTGACAACTTAATTAGCCTGGTTTATATCCTTGTGGTCCTTTACCGACTAGGATCACAATGCGAGATTTACTTACTGCACACCCCCGGATAATGATTGCGGGTTTCTCTAGTCACACCCAAAAAAAAAAAAAAGAACAACAACAACAACAAAAGGAAATAGAGAGTAATTAAGGCACCTTTTTGTAGTCCAGAAATGACTTCAGTTTGCGCTTACGAGCATTTTTATAAACATTTGTTTGGTCAAGTATTAAATTACGAGGCAGCTTTGAAGCCATAGGTAAAAGAGTGTTGAACACCTCAGTAGCAGACTCCATCAAACGCTCAAATCTCCCACCATAACTATACAACCGACCAGGCCCCTATAAATTGAGGATGTCAAACTTCTGTCAAAGTTTTATTTGAAAATTTGATCTTAATGTCAACACTGAATATAAAAATACCTTCATTTTATCCAATATTAATTTTGTTCCGAGCACAATGTATCGCTTCTCAGGGTGCTCCTTTGCCCACTTCTCTGCCCAAGTACTCTTGCCTGAAGAAGGTAAGCCCACCATCATTATAACTTCACAATCATGAACCTCTGAAAATGTTGGACCCGGCAATGCTTTTCCATCCTCTATAGCAGAAAACCATGGCTTATACCCTTCAACACCTTCCAACCCATCCTCCAAACTGAACTGTAAAGTGACTACAACATTTTTTAGTAAAATATGAGGGAAAAAGGCCGACTCCCAAACTAGATGTTTGATTATTGGAGAATCCACCACTTCAAATTGCATTGACATTCCCATCCATTTCCCATTCTTGAAGAAGCCAATTGATGCAGGTTTGGTTTCGAGGTCAATGCAGCAAACTATTGTGTCACCAACTCCAAAAGGTTCACCATAGTTATGAAACGTTCCTGCACTGGAAAACCATCCTGTGCCCCCAAACCCAAAACTGTGCAAGCTTTGCCCGAGGCTTCCAACAGCATTATCTCCCCTTGAGACACCAACTCGACATTCATGCCGTTCGGCCGGTGGGGTGTCTTCCATGATTACGGGTTGTTTTGATATGATTTTGCAACCAAAGCAATACTTTCCTCTTTTTATTCCCGCATTTGCTCGAGCACCTGACCAGCAATAAGCGAACCCCTTCTCATAAAGTGATGAGCCAAGCAGTCCATTGAATCCAATCTCAAAATCTGGAAAATTTAACTTGGAAATTGTTAATTCATCAAGATCGAAGCAACACGATGCATGCATGACGCTCAGACAAGCTAAAGTCTCTGTCTTGTGCTTAAATTATGATCGAAAACTTCGCCATGCCACGAGCTCTAGTCTAAAAGTTAAGTCATGCACTAACATAAGTGTCAAATCTTTAGACTTCTCAGAGAATCATTACATACTGCGTTAGAAAGTACAAACTCGATCATGAATGCATAACCGGATTAACGACGGAATGATTAATACTTGCCTAAGTCGCAGTCGGCGGGATTAAGGGCCACGAATCGCGGAATGGAGAGGGAAGGCTGAGACGGCTCGCCGTGGACGGCGCCGACATCGAGCTTGGCTTTCTTGCCTTCCGGAGTTTGACCGGTAATCGGAAAATCGCTTTTCTCAGACAGCATTCTAGGTTTTTTACACTCATCTGAATCAGTAATATCCTTACAAGTTACAACTTAAGCAAGCGAAACACCGACGATGGAGTTGCTTCGTACTTACTCGGGGACACCGACTCATAGAGTAAATTGTAGATACACCCTTAAACTTTGATACGAATATTAAAAACGTCCCCCAAACTTTGAAGGCGTTTGGTAAATAACTTTAACCTTATTGAGTTAGTTGATTGTAGAAACATGTTTGATAACTTAACTGTTAACGGATGACATTGTCTTTGTTTGGTAAAATAGTTAGTTTATTCGTCAATTTTGACTTTTTTTTACCACTATTATTGTTTGACTTGATTAAACAATTAATATATGTGTTTGATTAGTTAGATTTTTGTAACAACGTATTGCTCTAAAATACTAAAATTCAAAAAACTGCTCAAAGTAATTTTTTCAATCAGCTTTTTAAAAAAGTCATTTTGTATGTAATCAACTAACAGCTAACAACTAATTTACCAAACACTTTTATACAATTAGCTAATGTTAACAATTAGTAAAACTCACTAACTCAATCAGCTAAGAGTCATTTACCAAACATGTCATTTATCAAAAAGCTTATCAAAAAAGTTATTTTGAGCAAATTTTTAAATTTTAACATTTTAGAGCAATAAACTGTTACAAAAAAACTAATTAATCAAACACTTATATTGGTTGTTTAACCAAGTCAAACAGCTAATGATGATCAAATAAACTAAAATTGACTGATAAACTAACTATGTTGACAAATAGGGCTTTTATGAAAAATTACAATCACTATATAAAAGTATATATGGAAAATGATTGAATAGGAAGAAAATAAAAATTCTTGACAAAAATAAGCTAGAAACATTTAATTTTTAGACAACTCAATATAAAAAACATTTTATAATATATAGTTTTTGTGTTGACGGATTAGAAATACATTTTTCAAAAGTTTTTTTTCTTTTGTATTAATTTTTTTTTTTTAAATACTCCAAACACATTTCAAATGTGTTTAACAATTCTTATTTATTTTTTGCTAACACAAATGAAAAATGTGTTTGGTGTATACCTATACTTACTAAACTTATTTTATGCATTTTCCAAATGTGTTTGTGTAAAAAAAATTGAAAAGTAAATCAAACATTGATTAATGAATATTATCTCTTTGTCATTTTGCTATTGTGAATGGAGTGGATTACCTGCACGCATGAAGAACAAGGACTGCAATGATTACCCTTTGCTTTTTTTTTTTTTTTTTTTTTTTTTTCTCTATTGACAGAAACCCACTAGATAACACATCAATGATACATTGAGTCTTTGAGGGCATTGATGTGTAGAAGCAAATTCTTACATAACTTAACTCTAACCTATTTATAGTATCAACCAACAGTGATGTTATCAAATTAAAAGGTATTTTACTATTTAGTGTGAATTAATTACATTTAGAAAAGAACATAACATCATTGTTAGCCTATTGAATATCAATATGGACTAGCGATTTCAGATGACCAAGGAAGTTTTGTTATGGCCAAAAACAATTTCCTTGACAAATTTTACGTTAAATCATAGTTTGCATTAAAAATAAATTACTAATAAATGTTCATTTATAATATACTTAATGTACATTTTAAGTAATATATAAAAAATGAACATTCAATTTACTAAAAACAAATATCCATGTCAATAGTCCACTTAACCGCATTTCATACTATAATGATTGGGTTTCCTTCTTTGTATGTTTGATCTTGGAATTACTAAAGCAAACAAATTATACCGTGGATCAGGATCACCTTGCAATGGTCTAAAATAACTTTTTTAATTAACTTTTTGAGAAAAAAAATTATACTAAACAGCTATTAGCTAACAACTAATATCAATTAATTATACACTTATACCCTCTAACTAATCCTATCAGCTTACGGCCATTTACCAAACAAGGCCAAATGTGTTTGTAGGTAATGTGTCTGCATTTAATAAAAACACATAATTGTGCAATTAACATATTATAACAATTGGCTGATTGGTAGGTATGGAGGCAGTATCTTGATTGAAGGTCCAACAACTCCGATCCATCAAGAAGTCATCGGTGAAATAGATTGTTTGAATGCCTGTTAAAGCATAAATCAGAATCGACTTAATTTTTCCTGTACTGACCTTGTCATTAAAGATTATGTTAAGTTAGTTAAGTTGTTAAGATAGTAACTATCAGTCATCTTCTTCTTCTCCCAAATACTACTTGCTGAACCATTGAGATTATACTTATTGAACCATTGAACTAAACTCATGTGTCTATCAGTCCTCTGATCATGCCTGATCTATAGTGCATATTCTTGCTAAAACTATAAGCTCTCGGACTACAATTCCTACTTTATTCCCACCGAATTACAATTCCTTTCCTAAGTTTCTTACCTGTATGTCTTGTAGCTAATTTTTAGCTAATCTGAACAAAATTCTTCCCTAAAAGTTAAACATTTCAATACAGCATCAATCAGCACAATCCAACATCAGATACTGGACAGTGGCCAACACACTTATTTCTCAAGCCATTATAGTAGTATGAAGCCAGAAAGTTACTGCAAAGAACCAAAAAGCTAAGCCAGAAAACCATTTTTTAAAATTTCATTAATTTCAAATGTTTTACTCTACAGTGGAGACTGATATGTACATCTTAGCCTCTTGTGGAAACAGAAGTGGCAGCACAATCCTCCAAAAGAACTTATTGAAAAAGTGTAATAAATCATTCTCCTTCTCCCTCCCTAACTTGTACAAACATATATAGTCAAGCCACCTCATCTTCAATGAATGGATTGAAGAATAAAATGGCCTGTGAGGGTTCGGTTCTTGTGACATGTATAAATAGTGCAGATCTGATAAACAACATTACCAGATCCCACCCCCTCTAGTCCAAAAAAAAAACACAACTATTTGTACAACAATGCATGTACAAGACTCACTTCATTAACTCGTGGAACTATAACTCTGCTTCCAGTTGCAGATATGACTGCCTACTCCTCCAGTCCTCTTCGTCGTCTGATGCGAAGAGGGCAATAGATAAACCAGCCAGCTTTTTTCTGCTTAACCGAGATCTTGGAACCCTTGACTGCCTTGGTGCATTCGGTGCTTCAACCTCATTGAACTCACCCAAATCCTCGAAATCAATTGGGCTCTTGAAACCAATAGTCTTCCTCGGTGTGCTATATTCGAAATGCCAATTCTTGGCAATCAAGGTCTGTTCATCAGCAAGGACAAAAAAAAATGTAAATACCAACACACTTGGAGAATTAATCCAAAGATAGCAGTAATTCACAAACTTAGGCATACCGCTTCTCGAATAGCCTTTGATACATGAAACAGCCTCTTCAAATCATCATGGTCCACACCACAAACTATCCTAATCTGCATTTTAGATTGAAAAAAAAAAAAAAAAAATCAAATCTCTGTAAAGTTTGTATAAAAGGATACATATTTCACAGTATATTGTTCAAGATTGCAGAGAATCAAGCAGATACAATCCTAGTGTATAAGAACAAGTTACATTCATATTCAAGTGGCTTTAATAATCTCTATAGCAAATCAAAATGCAAATAACATTCACCATACCCAATTCATCAAATCAGCAAAAGAATACAGATTTGGTACTAAATTGCTCAATTAATTTCAGAGCAAAACAAACATATCCACATCAATATATGAACAGAAAGTGAATTGAGATCTGAGCTTACCAGAACATCCTGAGGCAAAGCTTCAAGAACAGACTTCTGACAAATGGGAAAAGAAACCTCAGGGCAATGCTTCTTTGGAGGTGTGGTGGAAAGAAAATCATCCGACTCCATAGCTGACAAGACCACCCTTTTCCTCCCAAACGAATGGCTCCTCACCAGCCCTAACCCCAACCCACCTTCACACTTGCTCCAAAGCGCCATTTTTCCTCTTCAAGATCTGATTTTTAGACCACCCAACTACCAGAAACCAAAATCCAAACAAAACCCCTCTCTATCTTTCAAGAAACTGTGCCTCTGAAACTATAACTAAACCCTAAATTTATGGATAGCAGTAAACTGAGATAGCTCAATACACGGAAACTCCAGCAAGGAAATTTATGTAGCTGTGCTGTATAGAAGGAAACTATAAGATTATAAGAAACTTTGTGCACCTGTGCTCTGTATGCCACTATGAACCGCCCTCCAAATTCCAACTCTCTGCCTTTGGAAAAGACTGAATTTTCATTATATAGAGGGGCCTTGGAATTCGGAAAAAATCAACTTTCTTTTTGAATTTTATTACGGAGTATATATATTATATTGTGGAATAAAAATAAAGAGTTCACCGTCAACTAAAGTCACTTTTAAACTATATACCCTGAGATCAAATTTTATTTTTATTATTTAAAATATATATAATATAATAAAAGAGTTGGAATTATTTTAACTTTTTTATGGATAAGCATTACAGAATCAAAACTTTTTAAATTTATTATTTGGAATTTTTTGAATTATATCTATCCAGACTCCAGTAAGTATATATTTTTTACGTTAATTTCCAGAAATTGATCGAAAGGACTCGAATCTTCCTGTGACTTTACCTTTTGGTTCGTAGGTTAAAAATAAGCGGACGTTAATTTCCACAAATTGCTCGAAAGGACTCGAATTTTCCTACGACTTTACCTTTTGGCTCGCATGTTAAAAATAAGCGGAAAGAACAAAACTAGCCGTTAGTTATGTATAAACTATAAAGTAGGTTCCTATGACTTCACCTCCTTAATTTTTTGTTCATCTGTTTCATTTTTTATAAATAAAATTAATACATAAAAAATATATCATTAAAAAGTTTTAACTGAGATCTTTTAACTAACACCCATATTAACATATTTTTTATTTTTTAAAATAAATGTACTACATAAAATCATTATTTTAGATACACAAATTCAATTACAATAAAAAATATTAACCACTATTAATTGTTTGATTTAGTTTAAAATTTAACATAAATATTTGGTTAATTAGCTGTTTGCAATTCTAAAAGGTTAAAATTTAAAAAGTTACTTCAAACAACTTTTTCAATTAGCTTTTTGATAAAAGAAATTATACCAAACAGTTATCAGCTAACAATTAATTTACCAAACACTTTTCTACAATTAGATAATGTTATCAACTATTTATACCCTCTAATTAACACAATTAGCTAACAGCCATTTACCAAGCAGGGCCAATATAATTACTAAAAAAAAAAAAAAGCTACTACTATAGTACATAATTCATTAATATTTGCACTGTTTTTATGTACATGCAACATTTTGAGGAGTTACCAAAAAAGCTATTACTAATAGGGACCATTTTGGTACTACTATAGTAGCTCAACATTTTAGAACTACTATAGTAGCTCAACACTTTGGTACTACTATAGTTACCAAAAAAAGCTACTACTATTGTAGCTCAACATTTGGTGAGGAGCCTTTCTTTAACTAGTGAGGGCTCATCATCAACATTTTGGTTTCTCAATTGCTTCACACTTGTTAATGTAGTCCTTAATTTTCAATTTCAATTAATTTGATCATCGATTATTTAAAATTTTATCAATTAAACACTTTTAGGGACTAAATTAATAAAATTTTAAAAATGTAAAAATTACTATTTGAGTTATTGAAATAGTTTAATTAATAAATTTTAAGCAATTTGATAATCAACTTAGTTGAAATTAAAAATTAGAAAATTAAGAACTATATTAACAATTGAGGGATCAAAATGTTAGCTAGCTCTATATATAAATTTGTTATGTATCTGTTTTCAAAAATAAAAAATAAAAAATTGTAATGTTTCTACACTTTAATATTTATGTATGTGGTCTAAATTGCAATATGGACTTGGTACAGCGTATAGTGTGCCCCATTTGAATTGGACACGTGGAGTGATATGAGTGGAGGACGGTAATTGGTGGCAGTTGGTCGGTCCAAGACGGCTTGTCGGTAGCTTAGCTACCACGTTTCGTGATCTCACACGTCATTTGAATGATTTTGGCTAAAATCGCCACGCCGTGTGAATAAAAAAATCAACAAAGGGTTCTTATTCTGCCACGTGTTCGGCGTGAAAAACAGACGGCTAGGAGATAGGGAGGTGACGGTACAACGTCCGTTTGGACGTATACGGAGTAGCTGAGTAGGATACGTAAACAGGCGGCCTAGCTAAGAACAGTAGAGTGGCGGCTGTCCATACGGATAGCTTTTATTACGCGGTCGTTTTTTGACGTCAAAAGGTGGTCTGCTCGACGTGCAATCGTGCATGTTAATCTTTTATTTTTTAAAGTATTTTTTTCATTTAACATAATTATGTTAATATTACAGTATAATTTTTGCATTTATTAAACAAAACAAAAAAAAAAATCAAATTCAATCAATCTATCACGATTCGAATATATTCGCATCAAATATTTAACTATTTTAGAATAAAATATATAATTACATAGTTGACGCTCATAGTATACCAGTTCGTATAATTCAATATAGCAGATCGTATTCATATTAGTGGACATTCAATTTTATGAGAAATATATGAATGTTTAAACTATTAAAAGTCTTATTTATGTTTTAGTTGAACTAAACCTTGAAAATATGTGGTTTTGACTAATTGAAATTGCATAAATCTAGTTGATTATTGACTTGGTGAAGTGGGAAAATACAAATAAAACACATTTGAATTACACGCTATAATGCTCCCGTTAATTACCTGGTAAGCATATTTTGAGAATGAAAAAGGACAGAAAATGACATAAATCAACAGATAAATTTTTGGTGATTTTTTGATCTACAGTGAGTCAAAGGTTCATAGAAGAGAACAAGAAGAGCCAAAGAAAGACTTAAACAACCTACAAAATTATGCAGAATCTGCATGTAAATCCAAAGAGAATTACCTGTTATGCAAAACAAATTTAGAGTACAGATGAGGCCGGTTTGTAAGTCACGGTTGATCATGGAGGTTCTCTAGCTCCGGTTGGCCATTTGTAACTTTAGAATCCTCGGGTTGGATGTCTTGATCTGCAGAATCAGTGCTTGCAGTGGATGAATAGAAGCTCCACACGGAGAGACAGTTTTCGTTGCCTACACAAGGAAAACATTGTATTATTCGTCATGAGTATTATCTCTAACAATAAGCTTTCTATTGTAACTAAATCTAACCAATGGGAAAATAGTGAATGGAACTCGTCAAGATATAGTGAAAAACCATGTCATAATAATCACACCCAATGCTGAAAAATTATAATTTGAAGAATGCAATCACTTCAACAATTATGGGTTAATGGGGATACCGCTCAGGACCATATCCTCATACGAGTCATCAAGACCTACAAATCTTCGGTGCCCCGACGAAGTGGCAGCCATTGGAAGAAAAGGATGGTAGGAGAAACCATTGACAGTGTCTGTAAAGGATGTAAATCATCTTATTACCAATAGAAGAAATATTGGCAGAGGCTGCACTACCCAAAGGTATTTTGAACAAACAAACTAAAGTGCAATACCTGATGCAGCTTGAAAGCTTGATACCCATTGTCCTGTTTGAAGATTATAAATATGGACTGAACCATCCTGGAAGTGCAGACATAGAATTATGGCATTGAATATCATTGTAACCCGGTTCATTTCTATGATGCAGAACTATAGTGGAGATACAATAATACCTGCCCACCAGTTCCAAGGTGGTGACCATGAGGCTCCACATCAAAATGTATCCGCTGATTTGTACTTTCAGATGATCTGTACAGCCTATTTGCATGTTGCAGGGAAGCAAAAACTGAGGACTTAGAGCTCTTTTAAGTAATTTAGTAATAACAGACTTCAATCACTATAACTACCAGTCAAAGAAAGATGAGCTCAATGAGTCAAGGAGAGAGATGTGCTCACGCATGCAAATGGAATTTTCAGCATGAAGTCATGAACAATTATAAAATATTAAAACAAAATAAAAACAATCTATCATTAATTCTTTTGAATTTTCAAAAAAAAAAAAATCAGGATTAACATTCAACATGAGTTTCAGATACGGCTGAAACCAAGCATAGCTATCATCCGAGAACAATAAAACATCCTGGAAAGATGTAGCCTTCTTTGAGTAGACACAAATTAGAATTCTAAATTCTTGACAACATCTAGACAATAAAATACTTTCAGGAACAAGCGCATCAATATTATTTCTCTCATGTTCTAATTATACTTTGAGAAAGGTATTTGATAAAGTTATATGTATTGGCATATCATTGTTTTTGGTATCAATGATTAGTTTGGTGTGCGCAAACATAAATAAGGATTTCAATAGTTTTAGGTGATACTTTGTCATTGATTTTGATAACCCTCCACTGTGGTAAAACAGAATAGAGGGGAACAAGATAGAAATATCAACTAAAACACTGTTACCAACTGTAATTATATCAAGAGGAACATATTACTTCTTTGATGAAATGAAATATTTTATTTTGTTAAACGAGCGATGAAAAGCATGAACTCTACACACTTTCAGCAACTAAGCATTCAACAATTTAAATGATACAATAAACCACAAGTTATTACATAGGGATACTATGAGTATCCAATAAAAACTTACTTGTAAACAATGTCAACAGTATTGCGAATGTCCCAGCAAAGAATATAAGGATCCTACAAAGAGACAGAGATTAACTGTGTCAACATATTTAGATAATTACATGATGCACACATCAGAGTTGCATATAGTTGTCCAAATCCTTTTACCTTACGGCCTCCAGTATACAAGAAGTTTCCATCTTTTGAAAATTGCACCTGAAAAGTGTGTCTTGCTTGATCCCTTCAATGGTACTTTTGAAATTATGTGCATAACTAAAAAGGATGGCTAAGTCCCAACTTACTTGAGTAACACCACCTTCTTGGCCATGCAATACATAAAGCAATTCCATGTTATCTTCTCTATACAAAGCACTGGTTTGGCTATATGAACCTGTAGCCAGCAATCCATTATTGCTTGGAGAGAAAGCAATTGAGGATACAATGCCTGACAGAAATATTGAAATTTCCATCACTTCAAAGAACACAATAGGTAAAAGTGCAGGAAAAGAAAAGATTTTGAAAGTACAAAACCAAGAGACAATGATGTAAATAGGTGCAAAAAGATTTCAACCCTAATGTTAATTACCATCAGAAGGATTTCCCTTAATTACATTCAGAAAGTCTTCCAACCAGCGTGATAGATTCTGTGTGATGTAAATAGGTGCAAAGATATGCAAACT